ATCTGTCTGTCTATTTGTCTATCTGTCTATTTGTCTGTCTGTCTGTCTATTTGTCTGTCTATCTATCTATCTATCTATTTGTCTGTCTGTCTGTCTATCTATTTGTCTGTCTGTCTATCTATCTGTCTGTCTATTTGTCTGTATGTCTGTCTGTCTGTCTATCTATCTATCTATCTATTTGTCTGTCTGTCTGTCTATCTATCTGTCTGTCTATCTGTCTATCTGTCTATCTATTCTGTCTGTCTGTCTGTCTGTCTATTTGTCTGTCTGTCTGTCTGTCTGTCTATTTGTCTGTCTGTCTGTCTGTCTGTCTATTTGTCTGTCTGTCTGTCTGTCTGTCTATTTGTCTGTCTGTCTATCTATCTGTCTGTCTGTCTATCTATCTATTTGTCTGTCTGTCTGTCTCTATCTATCTAGATAGAGTGTAGGTTTAACAAAAGAGAAACAAAGAAACAGAAACAGAAACAGGAACAGAGAGATAAAAATATAGATGGATAATATTTTGAATAATATTTTAAATTAGGCTTTTCTGTGCCATCCTGCCACAATTTCCCTCTCATGTTCACCACGAACTTCCTGACTGACAGTCATATTCAGCTGAGTCCAAAGATCTAGATGAAGTCAGCTTCAACAGATAATGTCCTCATATTCTGTTTACCACTATACAACACTGACATACTGAGTTTCATGTGTTGGGTAATCATCTTTAATATAATATTTTACAGTATGTGTTTGAACACGCACATCATCTCAACAGGCTGGTCAAAGCCTTGAACAAATAAGCATTTAAATAAACATTTAACTAACAAACAGCGCATGCTTTCTAGTGTACTTACCATTCTGAAACGTATGTGAAACTTCCTCAAATGACCAACTATGACTGCCGGAGGGTTTGCAAAAGTTCAGGCTCAGTTTGCAACCATTTCTTGAAGGATATGATTTCTAGAGGAAACGTCTCATTCCCGTGAGCTACAGCACAAGCACAAAAGAACAGGATGAAACATTAGAGAACTCATTTGCAAGCAGAGCTTCCCCTCCCAGACAGATTGCACATTAACCAGCACAACACTTCTTACTGGCTCCTCACAGCGGCCCAACCCACCGCCACTGTGCTCTGCTCACACTAGACACTGTGCAAAGAGCTGCTGGACTCTTTTCTCTGGTGGTGTTGCATGGTATACGGCTGTTTTTAAAATGATTTTTAGGGAAATGCACATCAGAACTGCTGTTTTTTTTTTCTTTACAGAGTCTTTTTTTAAAATTGATTATAAATTCAAAATAGCATCATCTGATGACTTCTCTGGAGAACATCGGATGAAAATACTTTATGGTCTATCAGTATAGCTGCTTCAGTGTTCCCTTCATTTCAGTTATGCTTTGCCCTATGCTTTCCTGGCTTAAACAATCTAAGGAACCACTGTTGGTTATATTTACAGCTGTTTATAGATTTATTATCACTTCACAGGATTTTAACCTCAGCAGACGACTTCATTGTTGAATATTAAACAAGTAATAATGTTGTTCACTAACTTATGATTAGGTGGTAAACGGCTGTGTTCTCTATCAAGAAGACCTTATGGATGACAGAAAGAAAACATACCGTGAAAAATCAATGTACAAATAAGTTGTCAAATGTGCTATTGTATGAATATTGTGAGATAATGGGGTCGATAAGATTTAGTGGTTTTGAAAGTCTCTTACACTTACCAAGACTGCATCACAAATACAGTAAAAACTTACTCTTAATCTTACTTAGTCTTCAACTGCATCTCAAATACAGTAAAAACTTATTCTTACTCTTACTTAGTCTCCAACTGCATCACAGATACAGTAAGAACTTACTCTTACTCTTCCTTAGTCTTCAACTGCATCTCAAATACAGTAAAAACTTATTCTTACTCTTACTTAGTCTCCAACTGCATCACAGATACAGTAAGAACTTACTCTTACTCTTCCTTAGTCTTCAACTGCATCTCAAATACAGTAAAAACTTATTCTTACTCTTACTTAGTCTCCAACTGCATCACAGATACAGTAAGAACTTACTCTTACTCTTCCTTAGTCTTCAACTGCATCTCAAATACAGTAAAAACTTATTCTTACTCTTACTTAGTCTCCAACTGCATCACAGATACAGTAAGAACTTACTCTTACTCTTCCTTAGTCTTCAACTGCATCTCAAATACAGTAAAAACTTATTCTTACTCTTACTTAGTCTCCAACTGCATCACAGATACAGTAAGAACTTACTCTTACTCTTCCTTAGTCTTCAACTGCATCTCAAATACAGTAAAAACTTATTCTTACTCTTACTTAGTCTCCAACTGCATCACAGATACAGTAAGAACTTACTCTTACTCTTCCTTAGTCTTCAACTGCATCTCAAATACAGTAAAAACTTATTCTTACTCTTACTTAGTCTCCAACTGCATCACAGATACAGTAAGAACTTACTCTTACTCTTCCTTAGTCTTCAACTGCATCTCAAATACAGTAAAAACTTATTCTTACTCTTACTTAGTCTCCAACTGCATCACAGATACAGTAAGAACTTACTCTTACTCTTCCTTAGTCTTCAACTGCATCTCAAATACAGTAAAAACTTATTCTTACTCTTACTTAGTCTCCAACTGCATCACAGATACAGTAAGAACTTACTCTTACTCTTCCTTAGTCTTCAACTGCATCTCAAATACAGTAAAAACTTATTCTTACTCTTACTTAGTCTCCAACTGCATCACAGATACAGTAAGAACTTACTCTTACTCT